CCCCACTCCCTTTTCCAAGCTCTTCCTTGCCTAGGCCCTTAGGACTTCAGGCCATTTTATGCAGAAGGACGACTTTGTGGGTCACGTGACTGTGGAAGCACCCAGGGACTTTCCTGTGTGTGCCACTTCAAAAATGTCCCATGTTTCTTGGGAAAGTGTTAGGTTCCAGATACAGTTAAGGAACAGGCCCGAGCACTGTGGTTTCCAAAGGCTTACAGAGGCAGAAGGAAGTCATTCCAAGTGAGTAGCAGCAGGAAAACTGTCCCTTTGCACTGGAAATGCCAAAGTGGCCCTTCTCAGAATGGCAATATGTTCTGTATGTGGTTTTGTGTGTGTTTAAGTCCGGTTTCTACATTAAATAAAGGAAGTTGGAATGAAAAGCAAAACAAAGACCCAGAAGGGTGGTTTCTGGGCGAAGCTACAGGAGGAAGGCAAGGGGCCTTCTGGGAGCTGCTTTTTTGTTTGTTTGTTTGTTCTTGTGGATGCTAGTGGCTGAGCTGTGCCTCCAGGTCCTGAGTGTGACAAATTGACACAACTCAATGGAAAGAATTCTAGTGGGAAGTCGCTCCACCCATGGCCTTGGGCTACCTGGCCTGATGGAGGCTGTGCTTCTTATCTGCCTGCAGTGACCGCTTAAAAGGGAGGAGAAAGGGGGTCTCGGTCTCTTGGGTGGTGAAGATGGCCTGAAGCAGCATGCCATGGTTCCTAGCTTTCCAAGGACTCTGCAACTGGATTTACCTTATCCTGTATCAGTGAGTCTGTTTTCCCCATAGTGCCCCTTAATAAAGTGACGTTATAGACCACTGAGGCCCTTGCTACAAAGAATAGCTTCAGGACCAGCGAGATGGCTCAGTGGGCTAAGGTGCTTGCTGCCAAGTTTGATGACCTGAGTTCGGTTCCTAGGACTCACCGGGTGACACGAGAGAACCAGCTTTCACAACTTGTCCTCTGACCTTCGCAAACATAAATACAATGTAATAAAAAAGGAAAGATTTTCTAGATAACTGAGACATATGCTTAAAATAAAGAGTAGCTTCAGCCAGGATCACATGAAGAGGGCCACACAGAGAGCAGAGACGCTGAGGATAAAGGTCTTGCTTTTAGAATAAGGTGGACAGACACAGACTGACTTGAAAACATCAGTTCCTGCCCTGGGCTCACATCGGACTCACCAGGATGGGAAGTTTGACATCCCTGGAATCACTACTCTCTTGTGTAGAATGGAGGGCTATTCTAATCCAAAGGCCCTCAGAGGCTTCTCCTAGATAGACACACCCGATTCTGACACACAGATGAAACTCTCATGACAACTTGAGAAGAGTGCTATGCTCCAGGCATCTTGGTTTTGAGTGCCAGGCCACTCTGAATCCCGAGAGATGGGCGCTGGCATAAAGGAGCTCATGAAAGGACTTGTTCCATCTGTGGCTTGAACCTGCAGACTGCAATGGAAACAGCTCCAAGGGCTGGGTTTGGACTTGCCTAATTCTACCTATGACTGTTCCTGATTGGAACACATCTTCTCGGCAGCCTTGGACTCAGGGGATAAATGGTCCTGAGCACAAAAGACATCCATGCCTGCCTTCCTGTGGACCAGAACATTCGGAACAGATCGTTGACTATTCTTGGAGTGTCTGGCTCTTGCCTTTTTGGAGTAGAGGAAGTTATTTAGACTCTCCTGAGGGTACAGCTAGGGGCTGACCTTAGATGTCATCAGTCTGAGCTTCCCCAACACACAAAGAAAGGGACAGAGGGTGCTGGAGAGCTCCTAATGCCCTGGGTTGATAGCAGCTGTCTCCGAAGTCAAAGGCCAGGACCCCAGCCCCTGAAGAGGAGGAGGAAGTAAGGGGGATTAGGAAGAGCAGGAGGAAGAGGAGGAGGAGAAGAGAGAGAGGCGGAAGAGGAAGAAGAAAAGGGGATTAGGAAGAGGAGGAGGAAGAGGAGGAGGAGGAGGGAGAGGAGGAGGAGGGAGAGGAGGAGGAGGCGGCGGTGGCTAGAATGTAGTTAGGACACACAAAGAGGGAACCTGAAGAAAAGACGGGACATGCCCCAGGTGTTTTCTGTGGTCCCTTGGAGAACCTGCTCAGGGTCAGAGGACCCGAGTTCCCCTTCAGTCACTGTGGTTTCTTTTGGTCACCACAGGGGCCCTCCCGGAAGGATGCATGCTGCTGACAGGCGTCAAGGACAGACCTTGCTGCACACACAGCACCTGTCTCTGAGTTAAGTCGCAATGGAGAGCTCAGCTTCCCCTCACATTGTGTGGGGTTTCAGGTGGACACGGAGCCTGGCCCTGTGCTGGGCACTGGGAGGCTTGGCAGCTGTGGGCATCACATCTGCTTTCCTCTCAAAGAGAGTCAGTCAGACAGACCTTTACTTTTTTTCCCCCTTCATTTTAGTGATCTTGGAAGGAAATTCAAATTAAAGATGGCTGGCATGACTTCTTTTCCACATTTTAATTTATTTACAGTATGTGCACACGTGGGTGTCATAGTACACTTGTGGAGGTTAGAGGACCATGTGTGGAGTCTTTCCTCTCTGTTCTCCACCTGGGTTCTGGGCAGCAAACTCAGGTCACCAGGCTTCTTTTTGGTAGGAGCCTTTGCCTGATAAACGGTGTCATTGCCCCTTAATGAGACACCGCCAGAGACCCTCCTGGGTCAGTCATTCAACAGCATGGGTGCTGGAGCCTGGACAACTGTTCCAGAAAAGACAGGGAGGGCCCCTGTGGACAGTGGCTGGAGGCTCAGACAGCACCCCCCTGGTGTCTGCAGCCAGCCCTTGCCCACAACAACTGTCTGCACTGGTGCCAGGCAGCTTAGGGAGTTGGGGAGTCTCAATATACAAAAATTTGAAGGGATTACCACCCTGTTCCTGGGCAGTGTTGGAAGCTGGGGTTTAGGAAGGCTCAGTGATATGAGCATGTTCTGGGGTCCTGACAACACACACACACACACACACACACACCAGAGGCAGTGATCCTTCTCTGTTCACTTTTCTAAGAAAATTGTTGGCCGCATGGCCAGGGGAGATGTCATTTGAGTGGAATGCCAGGTGTCAGATGTTAGAAGATGCCTGTAGCCATTGAACACAGCGGCTTTTGTTTGTTTGTTTGGTGTTTGTGAGACAGGGTTTCATGTAGCCAAAGCTGGCCTCAGACTCATTCGATAGCCGAGGCCGGCCCCGAACTCCTGTTCTTTCCCACATTCATCTCCTGCGTGCTGGGATTACAGGGCTGCTCCACCAGGCCTGGTTTACGCAGTGATTGGGATAGACCCCAGGGCTCCAAGAATGCTACATAAGCACTGCACCAACCTAGATGCAGCTCCAGGTGACCTCCACTGCATTGTTAAAGGCCCAGGAAGGCCAGGGTTGTGGGGAGAATACCACAGCACAGTTCTCCTTTTCTTTTAATTCCTCTGCTTGCTTAAGGCCCCGACATTGTGATTACGGTTCCCAAGCTCCTCCCCCTGCATGTAGAATTCACAGATGACACTTGTGTCCCACAGGACATCCATCTGTTTCTGATCTGTTGTTGAAATACTGATTGAGGACCTGCCTTGTGCAAGATTCTGGGGACATGGGACAGAATAAAATAAAAGTCCCTGCTCATTACCTTGTTTAATTTTCTCCTTCCTTGATTCTACTTCCTGAGGAGAACTACCTGTGTGGGTTCTTCTAGGTCCTTCCAGCCCACATGTGCACCTGCATACACACACACACACACACACACACACACATGCACACGTGAACACACACATGCACACATTCACACACACATACATTCACACACACACACATAAGCACATGCACACTCACACACAGAATTTGTTTGTTTGTTTGTTTGTTTTGCCTAGTCTTTGGTTAAAGGATTGTCTTCCTGTTTAGAACAACTGTGTGGAAACACTCCATTTCTTACCCCTATGTAGTAGTTTGCCGTGATGACAGGGTAAAAGACACTTTTCTCGGGCAGGGGTGGTGGTGGGGTGGGAATGGACCAGCAGATAAATGCACTGGCCACCAAGCCTGGGACCTGAGTTTGATCCCTGGGACCTGCACATGGAGGGAAGGAGAGAACCATCCACTGATTTACACACATGTGCAGTGGCCCAGGCATGCTCCGATCCCAAACAAATAAGTGAATGTGGGGGAAGAAACTTCCAAGAATGTTGTAATTGACCTTCTCGCAGGCAAACACTTGGGGACTTGTGGGTTTTCCCTAGGACCCATGTGACCACACCCCTTCCAGATCTCTATTTGTCTTCTTGTATATTTCTGCAACAATTCTAGAAGTAAGTTGTCTGGGTGGAGGCTGATGCGTGTCTTGAACGTGATGAGTAATGCTTTGCCTTTGACACAGTGTGAATTAACGCATCCTTTGTCTCTCTTGTCCCTAGTGGTCTCTGTGATGTGGGGCAGCCCACAGGCTCCCAAACAAACCTTCACAGGCCTTCAACTGACAGCACAGGGTGGCCAGTCTTGGTGAGCTGGGTAGTCACAGGGATGCTGAGTGTGAAGGAAATGAGACGAGGCCTTAGGCATGCTCAACAGGGTTCGAGGTCCGATTTTGCACATTTGATCTAATCAATGGCAATGACTGGGGCGTATTGCAGCACCTGGGTATTCCCACACCCTTTATGGTGCTGTCTTTGGAGACACACTCACCTGTTTGGGGAAGCTCAGAGTCTTTTCACAGACGATCCTTGCACTGGACGGTGAGTCAGGAAATTCGTAGACTTGGGCAGTAGCTGGCGGCGGCGGCGGCGGTCCCTCCACCCAGCTCTTCATCGGCTCATACACAGGCCCTGGTGGTGGTGGTGGGCAGAACAAGCTGGGCACCTGATACAGAGCCTCTGAGCTGGTGAGATCTGTGTCCAGGCCTCTCGGGAGCAGGGGACAGGATCTGTCTGCAGGGGTCTCCTTGAGGACTTGGAGGCGGTTGGCTGGAGCCAGGCCTTGCCTCCCATGGAGCAGACACTTCCACCAGCCCTCACTCTCTGGCACATTTTGCTCCACGATCGTCAGGATGTCCCCTCTGGAGAAAGCCAGCTCGTCGGAGCAATCGGGATGGTTGTCATAAAGTGCCCTGGCCAGCAGGGTCTGGGGGAGAGAATGTGCTGTTACAGTCATGGGCAGTGGCATCCCTGCACCAGGCCACCAAGAACTAACTGCAGCCCAAACAAGCCTCCAGGCTGCTTTCACACACCTCCCTAGAGGCTCTGGTCCTGCTCTTTACCTGATTTATCCTTCTCATCCTTGGGGTTTCTGAGATGCTTTGCCTGCACCCCCAAGCCCAAGGTGAGTAGCTCTAATAAGCCCTTTCTTAAAATTGTGCTTGCGTGCTACATGAGGACACACAGTTGGGCCAAAGTCCCATGTATACCATGTACTTGGCTTGAAATTCTTAGCTGTGTGCCCTTGATCATATTAGCTACCCTCTCTGAGCCTCAGTTTTCTTATGGATAAAATGAGAATAACAGCGACACCTACTAGTGGGGTTATTACTAGAATTAAATGTTTGTGCATACATATGTATATATACACATAGAGGAGATCAATACATTTCGTTTGTCTATGACTCTGTCCCCAGCATCAGCCTCAGGCCCAGGTATGCAGGAAAAGCTCAAGGGACGTTTGTTAGCTGGGCTTGGTGGCTCACACCTGCACTTTCAGCACATGGGAGGCTGCGGCAGGAGAATTGAGAGTTCAAGACCTGCCTGGACAACTTAGTGAGCCCTGTCTCAAAAAGCAATAAAGAGCTAGGGATGTATCTCAGTGGCAGAGTGCTTGCCTCACCCGTGGGAGGCACAGTCTGAGTACTGTTGGGGACAGCGGACAGGGTGACAGTGCTGTGGCAAAGTTTTGTTCAATCGCCGCTGTCCCCGCCTGGTAGAGCCTCAAGACTCTGTTTCTTGATATGTCTGGGGCACACTTGTTTAACACTTCTGCCAAGAACACTTGAAATGGTTCTAAAATATTCTGTGTCTTCTCTCTCTCTCTCTCTCTCTCTCTCTCTCTCTCTCTCTCTCTCTCTCTCTGTGTGTGTGTGTGTGTGTGTCTGGGTATGAAGTGCCTGAGGTGCCCAAAGAGACACTGGATAGCTGGGTGCTGGGAACCGAACTCAGATCCTGGAAGAGCATCGAGCTCTCTTGACTGCTGAACCGTCTCTGCAGCCCTTGGAGTGCTTCTTAACCTGGTCTTGGAAGTACTTGGACTCTTCAAACTGCCCTGGCAGTGGGTGGCTTCCATTCATCTTGGGGAATGGGTCACCTCCCTACTCACCCTACCTCGAATTTATTCTTCCAGAAAGCTGATGGGTCCTGTGGGGTCATAGCATGTCTGCAAAGATTTCCCCGTCCCCCACAGCAAACCACAAGCATAGGGACTTTCCTATATTAAGCTGAAAGGCAGAGAACTGGCTTGGCACTCCTGGACTGCCTTCTCATATATTAACATATCTTCCTTCAGAAGTTCAGCAAACATTTACCGAATGCTACTGTCATACGGCACTGAGTTTTCAGGAACACCAATTCCAGTCATGTCATTCCCTCTTACCATCCTTCAGGGCCCTGGTAGCCTTGGAGTCCAGAACCTTCTATCTCCCACACTTCTTGACCAGCCTCCCATGATCACTCTTGCTGAGGATTACAGTCCTGTCCATCTGCTCGTCCCTCTACCCACAAACATCCAAGCAGCTTTTTACCCATTGAGATCCCCACACAGGTGTCTAGACTCTCCTTGAATACCTCTTCCCGAGAAAAAGGATTCTCTGGTGCCACCCTGCCAATCAAACTGGTTCTTCCAGCCTGTTTGGGATCTTCATATCTAACTCACAGAGGATAACCACCTCTGCCTGTGCCCGAGAGCAGGGTGCACACCCTCCTCACTCTCAGCTGTGTCCCCAAGGTCCACATTAGCCTTTTGTTGGGTTGATGAACAGGGTGGAGCCACATGCTGCTGCCACTGTCACGAATTTAGGAGGCAAAAAGCTGGAGTGGGAGACGAGGGGATTTTCTGTGACACAGTGCCAACTCCCTTAACAATAGTTAAAGAGATGCTAGAAGAGAGGACCAGAAACTGCTGGCACGCGCTCCTGCAAGGTCATGTCCTGGGTTCACATGGAGGCCCGCAGAAACCAGCTGGGTTGATGTGCTAAAGGGAGTTGGGTTATGGACTCTTCATGGAGTGTTGACTAAAGGCTCGGACTTAGTGAGGCGACAGGATACAGAATTCCTAGACTTTCTGTTTGGTTTTTGAACATTGTTTTTCTATAATCCAGGCTGACCTCCTGATCCTCCTGTCTCTGCTGCCTGAGTGCAGGGATTGCGCTGATCCTGGCAACTTATTTGATATCTGCAGGAGATTCACAATTTTACCTTGTTGAAAGCTACTTAGTAATCCCATTACTCAGGGGACTGAGACAGGATGACTGTTAGTTTGGAGCCACCCTGGGCTACATTCTAAGTTCCAGACCTGGGCAATGAGGTAAGACCCTGTCTTAAAGAATGGGGGAGGGGGTTTGAATTACAACTTAACCATCTATTTTGGGAAAACAGAAAAGCAAAAGCCAGCCTTCTCCCTTCACAGTTCTTATGAAATCCATCCAAAGCGCTTTTGAAGGGAGACTGTCACTGAACTGTGCAGAATCTGTCTGGTTCACCATGGGTGCCACGGAGCAGTTGCTGAAAGCAGCCGAGCCACGCTGTCCAGACAGCAGTGGCTTTTTCTGGGTCTGGACATTCAGGGAGGAGGGGTGTTTCCAGAGAACAATAGGTTTTTAGGATCATCCAAGCCAGGAAGCATCTGCCCCATGGGGCCCCCACAGCTGTCCTGGATTGATAGCAGCTGCCTCGTTCCTGACATACGGTTTCCTGCAACTGACTGCTTGCTGCCTGGCCACATCTTCAAAAGCAAAGTGACCTCTACATGTGCCACAGCATGGGTCCCTTCTGTGCTGTACTTCTTTATAAATAGCACAGAGTGCCTTTGGCTACTCCAAGCAATCAATTATTATAACTTCCCAATTAATTAGGGCCTCAAGCATGCTAGGTAAGCAACGAACATGCCCCTAGCCTAAGTTACCACGTTTTAATAACAGAGACAATCAGAGTTTGTCACACAAGAAGAATAAACCAAACAGGACAAGGTGGCACATGCCTGTAACCCCAGCTTTGGGGTGGTGGCGGTAGAAGCAGGTGAATTGGGAGTCCAAGGTCATCCTGGTCTACATAAAACCGTGTCTCAGAAAGCCAAAATGAAACAGCGGCAATAACAACACCAGAAGAGGAGTGAAACCCACGTGGGCATCCCAGGAACAGAGTGAATTATACGGAATGGGACTCTGGTTTTTATTGAGTGCTCAGACATTTCATCACAAATTCCAGAAGTCGCAGACATGGGCTCTCTTGTCTCCATTGTACAGGTAAGGAAATAGAGGGTCAGAGAGATCTAATGACTGTCCAAAGTCCTTTGGACTCAACAGATCTCTTCCCTTCTGTTCTTGACCCACTCCCCACAAATCCCTTCTTAGTCTCCAGCAAGAATATTACACACACACACACACACACACACACACACACACACACACACACACCCGAGCCTGTCTAAAAACTCAACTTACAACTGTTTTTAGGATGATGGCTAAGTTCCTGGGGATGACTTTGAGGCCCCCATGGTCAGCCCTCAGGCCTGCCGCTCCTGCCCTCATTCGTGGTCTTCCATATTGTTTCTTGACTTTTCCATAATGCTCCCAGCTTGGGACCATCCCTTGCCAACCCATTTGCCCAGGACACTCTTTCGCCAGATCTTTGCATGACTGACTTTCAGCTCAAGGGTCACCTCTGTAGAGGCTGCCTCCCTCTATGTAGAGTTGGGCTCCCACATGAAGGACCTATGGCAGGCCCTATGGGCAAATCCAGCGGGGCAAGTCATGGCCGGTTTGTCATGCAGGGAGAGGAGACACCGCAGCAGCCCCTGGAGTGACAACAGCAGTATGTCATCACTGCGCACCCAGGCTCCTGGCACCGCCAGGCTCAGCTCTTTGAAAATAACATATGGAAGCAGTTGACAGCCACAGCTACAGAACCTGACCACAGTCCAGTGGTCACAGGGGGTGACTTGAAAGCCATCCTTTAATAGGGTGTTAATTTGGAAACATTGGTATGGATACTTCAGTGACAGTGTAGGACACACAGTTATCTCTGCTTCTTAGGAGCACACAGGCAGCTAGATTTCATGCACAAAAGGAGAGACGTTCTTATTTTAAAACTTAAGAATGTTTTCTTTTTATGTTATGTTGTGTGCATGTGTGTGGTTGCACGTGTACCCCAGCACGAATGTGAAGGCCAGAGGACAGTTTGCTGGAGTCAGCTCTTTCTACAGTCTCCGAGCCAGACTCGGGTCACCAGGCATGGCAGCAGGCACCTGTGCCGCCCTTTACCCAGGTCCTCTGGGAGAGCAGCCAGTGTCCCCAACCTCTGAGTCATCTCTACAGGCTCCTATGGTTTTGAGGCAGGATCTCATATAGCTCATGCTGGTCTATATTCCCTAAATAGCTGAACTTCTGATCCTCCCATCTCTTAAATTCTGGGTTTACGGATGTGTGCCACCACACCCCGTGTGGGAGAAACGCATGGCCATCCAGATAACTGGTCACTTTTCAGTTCCTCTAACTCCCCTGTTCACATATCCTCAAGCCCTCGTGGGACCTCCCACATGTCTCTTCCTCTGCCCACAGGTCCTCTTCCCACCTTCATCTGACTAAGCCCTCCCACTCAGATAGAAGTTTCTATGGCCACTTGCACATGCTCATCTCCATACAACAGTCAGGAAACAGAAGAGACATGAACAGACATTTGGAAGGCAGAAGCAGGAGAGGCTTAGGACCGTGAAGACAAAGAACAGGGGTGACCTCACTGCAGGGGGGACCCGAAAGAATCAGTGTGCAAACTCTGTTCAGCGGGAAGAGATTGGTCTGCAGTACAGCTGGACACATCTGGGAATGTGTCATCTATCTATCCATCCATCCATCCATCCATCCATCCATCCATCCATCCACCCATCCATCCACCCATCCACTCACCAGGACATATGCAACTATA